CCTAATAAATCCATGCTGATTGCCCCTCAGCATCATTTCTGATATCTCTTCTTATTATTTGATTACTGTATGTATTTGTCTGACTCCTTCTTCTCTGTTGTATTTACTGTATGTGTGTGTAATTAATAATATTAATATCTCTCCTTCTTCTCTGTGTATGTATGTGAGTGTGCGTAATATATGTGTTTTCCTGCACAGAGATGGATCACACTGCCAGGAAAAACACAGCTTTCTCTTTAAAAACTGGGGGTGGAAAAAACCCCAAGAACAAATAAGAGGTTTCTGCGGGAAAAATAAATTGAAAGAAATGGATTGGATAGGGATAAGTAGAGGGATTCTAGTTAGTAAGCTGTAGCCAATCCTTTCCAAGAACAGAAACTAGCAGGAGACTGATTAGGAAGCCAAGACAGTCCAGTACATTTCAGATGCTGTTGCTCAGGCAGAAACAGCTCACAAAAGGGACAGAAAGGTGGCAGACAGAGGCTTATATGCTGTTTCTATGTCCCTCCCCAGGAGCACTGTGATTGGAAGGGGACTCAGGGAAAGATCACAGCCATTGGCCAGCTACAGATGTGAATCTTTCCCCCCCTGCTCTCCCTCCCTCTTAGCAGTTTCTGTTCCCCTGAAAGACTGCCTTCCGAATCTCCAAATCTTTTTCCGAAGCAATTTGGAGGCTCTGAATCAATTTGGAGGGGTTTTTTTTTCTCCTGATTCGATTTGGATTTGGTGATTCAGTCTCCAAATCGGGCTGAACCTTCTCTGAATCGAATCAACAACTGAAACTTCGCACACCCCTAGTACGTAGCACCTAATTCCAAGGAGCAGAACCTTCTATGTAGGTACTTATATATAGATTTAGATGCTTTATTTTAGACTCCCAAATTTGGACAGTTTGTCTCTAATTATAATTCTTTTTATGAAAGTGACCATAAATATGCTTATAGACTCACAGAGAACAGTTACTTATAATGCAGGTCTCAGAGCCTCTTTGCTTAGAATAGGCATAGCAAAGACTGATGTGCAGAGGCACAGTTGTGTGTGGAAGCATGTACAGAATTTGTCAACTCCTAGGCCAGGCTCTAGGCAGTGAAATCAATCTTTTAGTCTCCTGAGCGATTAAATTAACCTCGTGACCAATGAACAAAACAAAAGGCTCTACAAACAAATCTAACTGAAACATAATGTTCAACTAAGGGGGAAGTTGTGACAGAAACTGGCAGAAATTAGATAATTCTACTGGATTCCATGTCCTGGCTTTTCTCACCTTGTGTCATGGCCCTAATGCTATTTATGGACTGGGATGTGTATTTAGAAAGAGTGGAACGCATGGCTTCCCCATTCTATTATTCTGGATTTGTAATAATGTACTGCCTTTGATTCAGGGATGTGCTGCCGATATTTTAACAAGAGACCCCCAGCAACTTTTGACCTTATGCTTATCATAAACCCCATATTACAGAGACACATATGCTTGCATAGAAGAGAACTGGCAAAGTGATGTTTAATTCTCCCATTTAAACAAACACCTGCTCTCTCAGAAACATGATCCAGAAGGGAAGTAACAATGACTTGGAAATCAAATTCAGATGTAAATGAGCTATGCAGGAAATCTCCTAATTTGTTCCTGAAAAACATTCTGAGTAGGTTGGCTTTACAGGACACAAGCCAACACCCTAATCTGAAGAGTGTGAGAGAAATAAGAGCCTGGAGGTATATTCTGTATGGATGTCTTTTAGCACTACCAGCTAAAGGCAACAAAGGTTTTGCTTTTTAAGGATCTGATCTAAAAGCCTATTGGCTTTCACGAGAATCTTTTCACTGACTTCGGCTCCAGTGTTACAAATGACTCAGTGGTACTGAAAGGGAGGAGAAGAAGGAGGAAGGAATTTAACTACAGGAGGGAAATCACCAGAAACAGCTCTTCATTTTGATGCTTTCTCACAGAGACCCTCTTTCAGAACATCCTTGCCTTCACTTCAAATTCCAACAGTCTATTAGGCAAAACCTCCCTAAAACAATCAGTACAAGAAAACTGGAATGGGGGAGGCAAAGCCAGGATTCAGACCTGGCCTCAAAGTGGCTCTTCTCTCTCTTACTGGCCTCTTTACATTGCATAAAATAAAGAAACACTCTTCTGCGTGCCATGTTTTCCTCCTCCAGACCAACTGCCATTCCCCACTCTGGTGCAACGCAGGTGGTGCCTTCCTAGATGGTTAGAATGAACATCCCATAGTATACAACCAACAAGCCAAAAATGTCATGCGAAGCAGCCGGGTCTGGTAGAATATTGCTTGTGTTTCAGACATCAGGTGGGAATGAACAGGGGTAAGAATGATCAGTTCTGAAAAAGTTTATTCCTCTACCAAGAAGCAATCTCCCCTACAGGAGATAGAGGTAATGAGGTATACCCTAATTAGGTGCTTAGCGATGATTCAAAGTTCATCAGTTTCCTGATAATTATTCATTAACCAATTTGGAGGTTGGTATTTATCCTATACAATTCCCTGGCAACCAATTACATCACCTAGAGCCCCTGCAGAGTGGTGCTCCAGAGTATGATGACTTTATCTGCTAATTCTGATGAACATGAGGTGTATTTTTAAAATCAAAAAACAAATGCTAAAGCATATGTTCTATTTTTAAATACATTTTTGAAAGCACTATTAGCCTGAATATCAGTGGAGCAAGCAATCATAATAAAGGATACTGAAGCTCCTGTCTGTGATTGCTAAGTGCCAGAGGTTAATCCTGAGATCATCAGCTGACATGTATGTCTCACAGTCGCTGTTGACAGAAATTGAGTTGACGTGATAGGTGTGACCATTAGCAAAGATCCTCCTGGGAGTGACTTCTACCATTAAATCCATAGGTTTCAACACAGGCACCTGAAAAAAAATGAAAATGGGCAAATAATAAGTAATTTCTGTCCATATGATGAGAGCTTTGGTGCACAGCAGAGAATACAACATAATTACATTTTACATGATTTATTGGGTTTCTTCAAATGCCTTATCAAAAAAATTCAAATGACAAAGGGGCAGATCCACACTGACCTTGTAGACACTCCTATTGCAGCATCACTATACCTAAGATTTCCCTGAGGAGTGTGATCCAAATTAACAGATTAGGTACCTATAATCACTACATAGTGAAGGGGGACATCTAGGGGCCTTCCAAAGTCAATTCAGAGTGCACAGATGCTCACAGAGGTACCAAGAACAAGTTAATAGGAAAAGTGAAGTACAGGGGTGTGTCTGAATTCCCACTCCTCCTTCAAGCTCAGCCATTTGGCTCAGAGCTCCTCATTAGATCCTGAGATGCAAAGGATATCTGGACTGCCTGGAGAGAAGACGCCTACCAGAACCAGGATGGCTAATTGACAGTATACAAGCAGTTTACATTCTCTTTTGAATGCTGATCATCTTTTGCCTAATAACCCAGTGGTTAGACCCTCCACAGCCTATGGGGACTCCTTCACATCCCACACTATTCAAGACTGTGCCTTACCTACCAACCTATAATAAAATAGTCCCTGGGGAAGCCCCACTTCACCTCTCCTATTGAAGCTTGGCCACTGGGTATTCAAAAGTTGAATAATCACAAGACAAAAAGGACAACACATATGAGGAAGGATAACTCTCTAGCAAATGAAGAGTGTTCTCTGGACTGCTTGTGCACTTTACATTAGACACCTCTGCCCTTCAGCTCTTTACTCCGGCTGAGTTCTTCCCTAAAAAAACATTAAATGTGGCTTCAACTCTTAAACTCCAAGAGATAACCTGGGGTACTACATCAGCTTGCACATATTCAACAGCTCAGCTCAGCCATTCTCTCAGCAGTGTTGTGGTAGTTAAATTTCACAGGCGATTGCCTATTGGTTTACCAAATGAAGACTTCAGCTGTACTAGCTCATCCCTGGCTGTCTTCTCCCAGCAGTGCATGTCCTTACCATCAGTTTTACCTATTCCACATGCCACACTCACAATGGGATGGGTCATTTCTTTCTTTATAATGAAATGAACACATGCCTGAATTTGGCTCATTTTGTCTGAATTTGTCCCTTCAATTGCTCTGAATAAGACAGGAACCCTATTAAACAGGAACTTAATATATAATGTCAGAAAAATGAAGAACCCCGATGTGAAAATATGGTAATTCAAACTTTTAAAAAAAATGTTACTACTTAAACTAAAATGATGCTATTTTTAAACGGTTTTCATGTAGATTATTAAACTATAAATCATTTGCTTCTTGAAAAAAGTATGAGAGATTCAAAACCAGATTCTAGGAACTACAATTCCAATCCAGGAAATGGAATTAATCATAAGCTTAAAGTTATGCACATGCTTAAATTCTTTGCTGAATGAGAGGAAAAATATCAAGCAACTGGAGTTTGGGGAAAGAACTCTCATAAAAACCAACGTCTTACCTGTAGTGATGTTACTGTAGAAAGATCTTTAAGTTTCCCTTCTTCATCTTTTAAGTTATATCCTTCTGGTCTCTTATCTCGTTCAGTAATTTTCCATAATTTGATAGTTTTGTCTTTAAAAGAAGGAAAGAAAGAAATTGAAATTGTTAAATAGCAAAGGGATTGTTAGTTCTGGGCTCCCCAGGGGAAGACTAGGACTAATGGTCATAAATTGCTAGAAGACCACTTTAGGTTAGACATAAGGAAAAACTTCTTTACAACTCGAATGTCCAGGGTCTGGAATAGGCTCCCCCCAGAGATGGTACAATCACTTACTCTGGATATCTTCAAAAAACGTTTGGATGCTCACCTTGCTGGGGTTACCTGGCCCCAGTTGTCTTTCCTGCCCAAGCGCAGGAGGGTTGGACCTGATGATCTTGGGAGGTCCCTACCAGCCCCTAACATCTATGACTCGATGAACTCTGATCTCTGCACTTGCCTTTAATAGAATAAACATTCCTGAGAAGGTTTCACATTTCTGATCAGTTCAGTTCCATACTGCAATAATCCCATTCAGCTAAATGGGATTTTGCTGCTCAGACCCACTTTTCCAACTGGCTCCTCAAACCTTGACATGAGTTAGCTGGTTCCTGGAGTTATCAAAAATGTCTCAAGCAGATGCTGCTCGCGTGAACCAATCAGCCATTTTAAAGTCAAGTGGACTAAGAACTCTTCCTGCACGAGGCATGGACTTGGGAACCTAAGGCTCCTGTCTATGAGAAGGAAATAATGATGCAATTTATGCCAGTTTGCTTGGGTATCCAAAAGTGGCACAATGGGAAACATGGGATGGACAGGGAGTGGCACAATGGGAATACGGGATGGATAGTTGATACCTGACCTGCTGCCAGAGGCAAAGATTTTTTATTCTGAAAATCATAAGCTGGCAATATTAATCAAGACTGGGCAAAGACTCCTATTCAACTATATTATTACACTAATACAGTTCATCCTTAATCCCAATGAATATTTTAAAAATAAACATTTGATGCATTTTTCATATAGGTGGATTTGAACTCTATCAATTAACACATCTTTTTTTTTTTTTTTTTTTTTTTTTTTT